AAAGGAAAGGAAAGGAAAGGAAAGGAAAGGAAAGGAAAGGAAAGGAAAGGAAAGGAAAGGAAAGGAAATGACGTGTGTCGCATTTCACCCATCCAAGTGCACACACACAGCAGTGAGTAGTGAACAAACACGCACACACACACACCGTGAACACACACCTGGAACAGTGGGCAGCCAATGCTGCGGCGCCCAGGGAGCAGTTGGGGGTTCGGTGCCTTGCTCAAGGGTCTCACCTCAGTCGTGGTATTGAAGGTGGAGAGAGCGCTGGTTATTCACTCCCCCCACCTACAATCCCTGCTGGACCTGAGACTCGAACCCGTGACCTTCGGGTTTCAAGTCCGACTCTCTATCCATTAGGCCACGACTGCCCACCAAAGTGCCCACATCAAAATTGTGAGCAACTCAGAATCAACCTGCTTTATTTTACAATCTTATTTCTACACAATAATCTTTAATAAAGCTTCACGGGACAGATCAGGGAGCAATGAAATCTGTTTGTAAGCACGTAACAAATTCCCATCAGAATAACACATTTCACAGGCTAAAAGAACAAACTGATCTCGGATCAGAGCGTATTCGGCACATGGCCTTATTTCTACACAATAATCTTTAATAAAGCTTCACAGGACAGATCAGGGAGCAATGAAATCTGTTTGCAAGCACGTAACCAATTCCCATCAGAATAACACATTTCACAGGCTAAAAGAACAAACTGATCTCGGATCAGAGCGTATTCGGCACATGGCCTCAGGTGGCCTTGTTTATCACAGAGGAAATCACAAACACGAGCCGTCACTTGAAGAATCAGACAGCGCATCCGCACACCTTCAGCAATTCAGATATTGCAAAGTGACAGCCACATTCCCTCTGTCATACTGATATACACGCAACAAACTCTGGAATCTCTCTTCCTGTAAATGCTATTATGATGATGTCACGGCAAAGCTGGGGTCATTATTTAGCATGATAAATGGTCGGCAGAGCACAACATGCATTCTTTCCGTCTAACCCGTCACAGTACGCCCCCAGAACGCACCTCTTCGCAAATGCAATAAGCCACTCACACACACCTACAAGCAAACTCGCCTTCCCTGTCCGTCTTTTCCCGGCACTGTACGAAAAGTGACTTTGCCTGCAGACATCAGTGTGGCAGTGTGTGTGTGTTTTATGACATTTAGATGGAAGAGCGAGGGAGATCTCCCTTAAGTCAATTTGAACGCATGGGCCGATGAAATTACACAGGTAGCGGCGGGCAGCGTGACAAACGACTAGCCGCGATGGACGGAAATAACTCCACTCGGGGATACGTCCTCCGACAGAGAAAAGAAATTAAAATCTAAATTACAGTTTACAGTACACACGTAACAGCAAAACAGCTCCTTTTGCTGGGTAAATAAATATCTATGGATTGGAGAGAGTAAAGAGGGATACAGAGGAGAAAATAGAGATAGATACAGCAGTTGCTCAGACTACAAGCATGTGATAACACTTTCAGTGATGTTAAAATCTACTGGCCCAGTCAGACCAGAAGTTCAGATATTTACACACCCTGCCAATATCTTTACACACCAAACCACATTCATTTTTAATAATATAAACTAAAATAATATAGAAATAAGTATTTTTAATGTGTATAAAATACACAAACAAACAAAAAAGAGAAAACTTCATTATGTTTTAAATTCACAATACATATGCACTACTGCATATGCACTACTGGTCACAAGTTTCGAATAATTAAGATCATTTAAGTCTCTTATGCTCAACAACGCTGCATTTATTTGATTGAATATAGAGTAAGAACTAGGGGTGGGAATTGCAGGGTACCTCACGATACGAATCACAATACATGGCTCACGATATGATAATATCATGATACAGCGATTTTTGCAGTAATTGAAATATTGCTAGACAATTCTATAATGATACATCACAATAAATGTCTAACTATGAAAAAAATGCCTGTGAAAAGGTTAAGTGCAACTTTTCTCTTTTTATTCAAGTCTAAACTGTTAGAAAACAGCCTGTAAAAAGTTCTGTAAATCAAATTTAACAAGTAAATTAATCATTTTATATCTTATTATTATTATATAATACTATACAAATATTTTATTTTATATCCATATTCCTGGACTTATTAAGCTCACACTTTTCTTTGTGTGTAAACCAACACATTTAACTGCTTATCAACTTTTTTATATACAGTGGTGGCCAAAATGATTAGAACACTAGTATTTTCACCAGCTAAAAATGGTTTTAAGTCAGTTATTTCTATCTTTTGAGTACAATGTCTTTTGTCACGGGCGGGTGACATATGGAGGTCGGCTTTGCATACGTGCCGCTCAGAAGTGACGAACGAAGAAACGCAGCAGAGAGATCAAAACAAAACACCGGTCACTTATTAGAAGTACAAAATGAGGATTTGTAAAGAAGAATGTCGGAGGATTTCGATATAAGCCAAGAGGTTTTCCTTTGCTAAAGTAAGGAAACTTTGCTTCCTTTGCTCCTGTTAACAAACGTTGGTTTTCACGAGACTCACCGGCGCATGCGCAGCGCTGACCTCATACGTCATCCTCCCGGAGCTGCTTCCGTGTACAACTGTTGGTGCAAGCTACATTAAAGTGATTATTATGTTTTGAATATGGATATTTTTCTTACAAAAACGCATCGATTCGCTACAGGAGGCCTTTGTTCACCCCCCGGCGCCTGGTGAGACACTTTTTTTAATGGATGTGCGCTTTTTATTTAACTTCTTTTGGACTGATGCATGCAACACCCGCTGAGTGGCATTAAACATTTTTGGGTGAACTAACCCTTTAACCGTTTTCAACATTGACAATATAAAAAACATTACTAATAAATGGCCACCAATAATTGATAATAAACAGCATCAAATCAGTATATTAGAATGATTTCTAAAGGATCATGTGATACTAAAGACTGCTGGAAATTCAGCTTTGCCATCACAGGAATAAATTACATTTTATAATTTATTAAAACAGAAAATATTTCTAAATAATTTTAATAATATTTCAGAATATTATTGTTTTTGTTGCATAACTTATTTCTGAAATATTAATAAAAAAGAGTATGTATGTATGTTATTAAAATTTTGCTGGAATTGGAACTTAAAGTTGCCACATTTTTACTTGATTGACATCTGATCTCAGAACAAGATAATCTGGATAAATAAACTATATAGCCAACACACACTCAACACAACACATATGCAATAAATTATTTTACAACAAAAAGTGAGAGTAACTTTGTATGCATCATGCTTAAATACTTCCCTTCGCTAAAAAAAAAAAAAAAAAAACACTGTTAAGGTCTTCGTTAATGATGAGGCGCCGAGCCCACTGGCCTGCCCTTACCACTCCACTGCCCTGGATGAGAACCATGATCTTCTCTGGGTTAGTGAGGGCATCCTCGCTCATGTAAATAAAGCTTTTTGGTTCATCCTCAGTTGCATCAACCTGAAGGAATATAAATATTACAATTAGCTCCAAACTGAGATGCCATTCGCCAGTTACGACAGGGCACAAGATTACAGCCAATGAAATCTTCAGTTTGATCATTTCATTTTTATATTGAACATACTTAGGGCACTTCAAAACAAGAGTTCACACTACATTCCAAAATTCTACAGTAAATGAAGCAGTTTATAACTAAGTAAAACTAGAAACCTAACATCCATCATCAAGAAACCTAACATCCATCATCATTTAGTCGAACTCGGCAAACTCTGTGAACCCCGATCCGATTATAAAAGGTGTTTTTGTGTTGTTTGTGCGACTCCTCAATCCCCTGATGTGTGTCAACAACTATATTTACTCTTATTAAAGTGGGGCAGGACACTCTCAGAAACAGCAGAGTGAGTCAGAGCCTGGAATCATTTCTAATGAACGGCGCTCAATGCCGAAAACATCAACTGCTGTCTGTCTGCATCTGATGACTTCATTACATTGCAACAAATCTATCTTGACATTTACATGGTGTATGCTTCCTGTGTGCTGATAAGTTATGTGGCACACTCTAAGATGAGCATAAAATCATACGCTTAGAAATAACACAATGCATTTTGTGTCTACTCTTCTTTCAAATAGACTTTGATAAATGGATTAAGCATTAAATGCAGTTGGTCACAGGTAGCTTTGCCCATGAAACACTCTGAAAGACAATACAGACTCCAAGAACATCATTTGGTAAATACTCTCCACAAATAAAACAGCTCATAAAAGCCTGTGCCAGCATTGTTCAGGTGATTTATGGAGAGAAACTTACAGTGCTTTTAAAAGGACATAAATTCTATGTCTACCAAGTGCAAACACCCGCTATCAAAAATGATGTGTAGTTTAATGATACGCCTCTTAAAAAGTGTACTAGAAATCATAGCATTATTGCTCATATGAATGCAGTGACCACACCTCAGGAATCTCCTTGAGCGTACACAATTTTGCCATCAGAACAAATGCAATTTTCTCCTGGAGAGTTGAGAAGTGTTGAAGAATATCTTTCTAAAACTTAGTTTTCACACAATAAAGACCATTGTAATCTTATAAGATGCCAAGAGCAACTGCATCAATGTTCGCAATAATTCTGTTTAGATTCAAATTGTGGGCATCTAAAGTATTAAGGAGGAAAAAAGTCATTACTTACAGGGAGGATCTCCTTCTTCAGGTTGCAGTCGTTCTCCAAGCGTTCATAAACATACTTTGTAATGATCTACAGGAGACAAGAGAGACATCCTTATAAGTCTTTCAAACAAACTTACAAATATATCTTCCAATTGGTTTGAAACTAAAATATACTGTAACTCCAGATGGATCATTTAGATAAAAAAGCACCGAAGGGAGTTATTAAAGAATATTAGATGGACCCTAATCATATTTCTGGGGTTCTTAGAAGAAATCGGGTAATTTTAGCAGTGAACAGAAACTAAACTGATGAAAAAAAATTCACTTGGAAATTGGGTAACACTTAATTTTAAGGTGTCTTTGTTAACCGCACTTACTATTATAATAGCAATAAATGACGCATAATTACATGCAAGTAGCCCTAAGCCAAACCCTAACCATGTAGTACGTACATGTAGTTAATTAATATTACTCAGTACTTAAATGTATAATTACACTGTAACAATAACACCTTAAAATAAATTGTAACCAGAAATTGCTAATAAATTTCACAAATAATTACAAAGAAACAAGAACAGGCTGAATTAATTGCAAAACTTTAAAGATGATAAACTGATAGTATTTTCTTCTAAAAAAATCCTGCAATTAATCTTCTTTAATCAATAAACTTTAAATATTTTTAGTGTACAACCAATACAAATGTTTGAGTTCCCATTTTTTCCAATAACAAAAGAAAAAAAAAATACAATAGCATTTCTATGACTTTTCAAAACGGTAAAAAAAAATATTAAGAGATTGATACAGTGGTCAGAAGAGAGAAAAATGTCAAATTTGCCATCACTCCCTCAGCAGCTGTATTAGAAACACTCATGCAGCAACATAAACTTGTTTTCAGTAATTTAATGCAAAGGTAATATAATAAAGGAAAATTATGTAATAAACATGAACTTTTTTTTTTTAATTGAGAAAAAACTGCTAAATATATTATATTAATAATTCTGGAAATGCATAATCAAAATCTGTGAAAAAGGTCCATTGTGTAGTTTGATTTATTTGGTATAATCGTACAAAGCATATTGTAATGCAACTCAAACTGAATGTTTGAAAACAATGTTTTTTTTTTTATTATGACGATCAGAATTAATCACACTTCTTTGTATATATGCAAAGTCCATGCAGTTGTACACTCGACAGCCGCAGTGAAAGAGATAATTGGAACTGTCTGGATTTCACTTGTTCTGCTCAGAGAGCCGAGTGTACGGGCGCTGTCAGCCTAAAACGGGGCAAATCTAGAGTACAAACAGCATGTTGATGTAAGGTATGTTTATCCCTGCAGCTAAATTGCTAAAGAATTTGTACACAGTGCAATTTCAACCGCGGGCCAAAAGTTTCATGGTTCAGTGACATCAACAACTTTGAGCGTTTCTTTCTTGTTATGCTTTAGCTCACGATCTGCAACAGCTGAAACTACAGTGTTTTAAGAGGTGAATAGCAAATGCGCTAATTAATATGAGATGTTTTATTGTGGTTGTGATTTGGCAACAGTCAGCAGAACAGCTCCAATGTAACAGGGCTTATCTTTCAGGGCACGCTCATCCTGTTATGCCAAGTCTGAGAGAACTTTACGGCCCACCCGGGTGGAGGCACTAACAGATGCCCCACTGGAATGGAGCATGAAGGTTGTGGAGCCGGATCAGTGTCTGACGGCTGAGACTGTCAGCTGTGCTGGTGTCACAAAATGTGTGAGGTCTTGATCTACAGTCAAACAGAGCTGATGGGTGAAGTCAGTGTGATGCACACGGTCTAGAGCAGTGGTCCTCAACTGGAGGGTCAAGACACAAAACTCGTTGACCGGTCTGTTCTGATTGTAGGCGGAAGGGAATCAAATACAAATGATAATGTGTAACTAACCATATAAAAACTAGTCAAATTAGGCAGATGCCTACATAGACAAGGTTGCATGACGCAAATGCCCTTGAAAACCATCAACAAAACTAGGCAAGGAAAAAGATAATATGACTCAGAATAGATTAATTATGAGATCACTTATAATGATAGACATTTTGGTCAAGCTGTTGGGCAATTTTTGCCTATATTAAGATTATGACATTGGCATGTTTTCTTGGCCAACAGTGTTAACTTTCTTGCATGGCCAGCTTTCTTTTGTCTGAAGTGTATGTAAGTGCATATTAGAGTTTATTTCATTTCAGCATTTGTGTGTGTGTGTGTGTGTGTGTATATACATATATATATATATATATATATATATATACATACACATACATATATATACACACATTTTATGTATAAAATACAATTTAAATGGTAACAAATTGGTAGACATTGTTTTGTGCAGTAAATGACGAAGAATGTCTGAAGAAAATGAAACTGAATATAAAGACATTTTCACAAAAAAAAACTCACTATAAATTATAAAGTATAAAGAAAAGTCAAGTCTGTAAAAGCAACAACATCTGAACACATCTCAACTAATAATTATCAAATTATAGTTACTAAATTAATAAAGTTAATCTCTCTATTTCTGCATTTTACACAATGAACAATTCCAGTACTATGTACTGTAGGGTCCACAACTGACGTTCAAATGTAAAACCTCCTAAATTCCTGAAGTAAACCATCTGAGAACCACTGGTTTAGACTAGATCAAATTTAATTATATATAATTAATAGGATAATAAAAATCCAATCAAAAAATGATCTGTGACTTCATATGCAGAGAATCAATACAACAAATGTGCATATGAATTCATACCCACAATCATGACACAGAGGGGAGGAAAAAACTCAAAACAAAACCTTTAGATAGAGTAATAATGCAACCGTAATGGTTACATACTCATTTAAAGCCATAAGGCATAGCCTAAGCTATTGCTTATTTGATTACAAACACCAAAAGTACATTAGGCTCAAATGAGCAAATGCAAAGGGATATTAGCGCTCGTCAGTGGTCAGCGGGTCTAAATGAGATGACGGATATCTCTACAGACCGTGGCGGAGGCGGCGACGCCGATGACGGTAGGAAGACACAGGCAGCTCAACAGTACCTAATTCACTAAATGTCAAGCTCTCTGATGAAGACTAAAATGGTTGTGAAGTGCAATATGCTTGTGTTTAATGACATCAATAAGCCTTGCAGGAAATTTCATTTATACTACATTATTGCTTCAGTGCCTCAGGTGCTTCTCTTTTGATATATGAGAGAAGAGAATGAGAGGGTCTTGAAAGGGTGCATGGGTTCTGTTCCAGACGGTCCACGGCCATTCACTCTCACAGATGATTGCGTATACGTGTCCGACAAGATGGTGAGGGGTCTTGTAGATAAAATGCGTGAATGCGTGCAACATGTTCCCTCATCATGTGCCAATGGAGAGTGGACTGTCCATGCTAACATCACAGGATAGAAAAACAATATAGCAGAATTATATATCTTACATATATAGGCAGCAGTAAGTGGATAGTATGGTGGCTGAAGTGGATAATTCGAGTCAAGCATCATATTCAGCTTCAAAAGCAATTTTGCTGCTATTGTACAATAACAGGCTGCTGCTCTTTTGCTTCATCTCAAAATCACAGTCTCAAATTTACGATGTCACAGCACATTTATTATGCAAATACAATGAATAACATATTATATATTAAATGCAATAGTCTACTGTACATATTACATTGGTTTCAACTGAACAACTAAAGGACACACAGACATGATAATATGGTAAAAATAACTAGTCTGTGGGAACCAAAGACAAATCAGGGCTAACACTGACTTCATGGAGTCTTTAGGACATTTTTATTTATTTTTTTTTTTGCAGGGAATACAAAATAGCTTTGTCTTTAAAAAAAAATAAATAAATTTGAGATTAACTGAGGTTAAGCACTTGTTAATCACTCTGTGAGGGAAAATGATAAAGACAAGTCCATCTAAATGGTTGAAGACATCCAGTTTCTTCATTTGTGACCATACTCCAAAAAAAACTTGAAGGAAAAGAGCTTGAAAAAGCAGCCACTGTCTTGTTTTGCTGTCTTTTCATTTGTACTGATGTCTATTTACAAAGACATCATATCTTATAAAAAGCAGCCAAAGAAATATGACTTTTCTAGAACTCGTGCAGAGTTTGTACAGTTCACATCACTGAGAGCTTGAGAAATGCCCCAAACTATAGCACTGAGCAGCTCTGGGCTATTTTTCTCTCTTCACAAAACAACTTTGAATAGTTCATAAATTATTTGTGCAGTATTCAGACAAGATTATTTTCACAGGTTTAACTTTTTGCCCCCAGACTCACAGAACACTCCGTGAGCAGAATTCATACAAATGCTCGGTGGTGGGAACATCGGGTTCACAGTTCATTCCTTCATACATCCCTCACAGGTGATGCAATCAAAATTTCTGAACCTTAACATTTCAAACTATCAGCATGTCACTAGCGGTCTCTGAGGGAGCTCCCCCAGGCCAATATACAGAGAAACAGAGAATCAATTCTCACAGTTAATATCCTAAATAATCATATGGAATATTAGCGTTTGCCTTCGCTGCCCTCCTATAGATAAATTGACATGGAGAGGAGAGCACAATCGCCTGTCATTGTAATTAGAGCACAGTGCTGTCGCATAATTAATATTGTCTTATTAGTCTGATAATGAAAACCCTGCAGGTAAGAACGCTAAGTGCTCCTCACCTCCCCCTCTAAACGTGACGAGGGTGGTGATCACAGACCCTCTGGAGAGGAGTGTTGTCATGTAAAGTGTGCACAAACTAAAGACTCAAAATGAGGGGTTTTTATTTTAATTGGAATGAAAAAAAAAAATAAAACATTTTGGAGGGACAAAGCTAACGGTAGATCGGAATCCACAGCCAGAGAAATCCACAGGAGACAATACACAAAAATCAAACATCTATCATTCGGAAGTTTGCTAGAAACATATTTTTCTTTCATTAAATGTTAAATTAACTTTTTCAGACATGGGATTCCGAGAGGCCTAACGTCACGTTAATTCACCATTCTATCCCGTACAATCTTCTTCTAAGCCAGCAAAACACTAAACCACGTCGCACTGCTGAGGTCCCGC